GCGATCCGCGTGTAACCCCACTCCGCTGGGCCTCCCAGGGGCCCACGAAAGTTCCGACAATTGCGCAGTTCGCAGCTCCCCCCGCAGGGAGCCGCGAGGTCCCGACGCGATCCGCGTGTAACCCCCACTCCGCTGGGCCTCCCAGGAGCCCACGAAAGTGCCGACAGTTGCGCAAGATCGCAGCTCCCCCGCAGGGAGCCGCGAGGTCTCGGCGCGATCCGCGTGTAACCCCCACTCCGCTGGGCCTCCCAGGAGCCCACGAAAGTGCCGACAGTTGCGCAAGATCGCAAGAGGCGACAGATGCGCATATCGCAGCCCCCCAGAGGGCGCCGCGAGGAGGAGGTAGGAGGCAGGAGGGAAGTGGGCGGGAGGACGGGGCGACCAGAGTGCTCTGTTCAAAACGAGTACCCAATCAAGGGAGGGTTGGGAAAACATGCTTGAAAAACCGTCCCTGACTATTTTGTTACTACTGTTTGAATGTTCCACCTGTAGAGTTATGTTGTTCCCATCCTACTTAAGGGCCACATCACAGAAATAACTTCGAGCACCCGGAAAAGTGTCACAAGAGTGTCGAAACAGTGTCGGGCGAGCTTCCAGGGCCCGGCACGTGAAAACCCTTGAGTTTCGGTACTTTTTTGGGGCGCTCGAAATGCTTCCTGGTGATCAAAGCTAAAGTAGGTTGGAGCATCAGAACTGTAGAGGGACGGGCCCGACCTACGTCTGGCGGCCCAGCTCTCCCCGATGGGCTGTTTTGACGAACCAACAACACACACCCATACCCATAGGGGGGTCGGAGCGGGCTATGGGTGCGTGCTGTCGGATGGGGGTCCCCGCTCGAACGGGAGCGTTCCCCAGGGTCCGACAACCCGCACCCATACCCATAGCCAGTCCTCCCCCCAACGAAGGAGGAGGAGGAGGAGGAGCAGGAGGAGGAGGAGGAGAGGGTATGGGTGTGTGTTGTTCGTTCGTCATGTTTGGCGGCTTCCCCTCGCGGCGGCCTCCGTGCGGGGAGGGGGGGCCGCGGTCGGCCCTCCCCCCCCCCTGGGGCCACTCCCGGGCGACGGGCCCGGGCGGCGACACGCCTCCCCCGGGGGAACCAGGGGCTCCGGAGCCCTGTGGCCGCGGAGGCTGCTTGTCAGCATGAAGACAGAGGGTTTGGTAGGTGGTGAGTTGCTTGCCAGCATATATGACGACAGAGGGCCCCGAGATCCGACGCTCCCAAGAAACTTGGAGCAGGCGGTTGTGGACAGCTTGCGGTCGCCAGGGGCCCTCGCCGGAGCCGTGTGGCCGCGGAGGTTGTGACTACCTACCAGACCACCCCAACCCAACCCGAAGGCCCGATTTTCGGGTTGGGGGTGGTGTGAGTTCCATACGTGTTTTTCCGACGTTCCCCGACCCCCCCCCCCCACTGGAAGTGGAGGGCAAATTGAGGCCTTCGGGTTGGGTTGGGATGGTTTGGTAGGTGGTGAGTTGCTTGTCAGCATATATGAAGACAGAGGACCCTGAGATCCGACGCTCCCAAGAAACTTGGAGCAGGCGGTTGTGGACAGCTTGCGGTCGCCAGGGGCCCTCGCTGGGCCTCGGGAGCGTCAAAAAAGACTCAGGACGAAAAACTGGTCCTGGGGAAGTGGTCCGGACCTCCGGGGCCCACGCATCGAAAAACTTGGAGCAGCAACAAAAAAAATGGGCGTTTGGGCACTATGCCCACAAACACACACTTGTATCTTGACTACCCACCAGGCCACCCCAACCTGACCCGAAGACCCGCATTCCTGGTTGGGGGTGCTGCGGGTTCCGCGCGTGTTTGTTCCATGTTCCCCGACCCCCCCCCACTGAAACTGGAGGACAAGTCGGGGCCTTCGGGTTGGGCTGGGGAGGGCGAGGAGGAGGAGGAGCAGGGGCAGCTGGACGGCTCCAGCTCCGAGCCGCCTCTGCTGCGAGAGGCTTCGCCTGCCGCCGTCCAGCCTGGAGGCCTTGGGGGCGTCTTGGAGGGCCGCCTTGGAGGCCGTCCCCCGCCTCCCTCCGTCCTTCGCGGCCGCCCTGCCTGTCTACAGTCGGGGCGTTGACCTAAGCAACCCTAAATAAGGAACGAGGCCCCTTTTTTCCATAAGTTAAACTTCGATTTCCTATCGATAACATAAGGAAAACCTGAGGCAAGCTGTGAAACACTTAAGGAACGAAGAGCCCCTCCCCAACGAAAAGGGTTCCTTCTTCAGGGCCCCGACTGTAGTTCCGCCCTCTGACACGGCGGCCAATCCATCAGGGTGTCGGTGGCCCCGATCGCCAGCCCGCTGGAGCAGAGAATTGTAGGTTGGGGGGTCCCAGGAAGAGAGCTGCCGTGGGGTGGGGGTGCCGGGACGCTGTAGAGGCGGGGGGGGGGGCGTCGTAGGTTCCGGGCGAGAATTCGCAGGCTGGGGGGTCCCAAGAACAGAGCTGCCGCACTTCTGCCTCGCCGCCGGCGGGAAAAGTCTTGTGGTCGGCACTGTGGTGAGAGTAGGCAGAGCCAGAGCCGGAGCGGAGTGGCCATGGCTTCCCCCCCCCTGGTCTGACCCAGGCCCAGACAACTGTCCGCTGATGTGGCTCGGAGTTCCTGTAGTCGTTCGCTCGATCGTCTGTGTGGTGGTCGTCGTCCTGGTGAGAGGCAGCGGACCCGAGAGCGGCGGCGGTGGCGGTGGGGCGGCTCCGACATGCGGCGGAAGGCGGGGCGCGTGGGCCGCCGCCACCGTCGTCGTCGTCGTCGTCGTCGTCGTCGTCGTCGTCGTCGTCGTCGTCGTCGTCGTCGTCGTCGTCGTCGTCTGTGTCGTCCGTGTTGTCTGTGCCGTCGTCGTCGTCGTCGTCGTCGTCGTAGAGGTCGTTGTCGTCATCGTTGAAGTCGTTGTCTTCCTCGTCGTCGACCGTCGACGACTTCCGAGAAGGACCGGGGAGGGGGAGGAGGCAAGAAGCCCGCTCACAACGGGCCCGAAGGTCAGGCTCGGAAGAGAGAGGGAGGCAGGAGGAGGGAGGATGGAGGGGGCGGACGAGGAGACAAGATCGTTCGGCATCGAGCCGGGAAGTCGGACCGAAACGGCACGCGAGTCGGATCGGGTCGCATCGGCACGGGGTCAGAATCGAATCGGATCTGTTGCAACAGGATGCACAATAACGCCATACATGCATCGTGAAACATCGGACTGACGGCATGCTGGAATCGGATCGGACCGGGCTGGCCAGAATCGATCTCGAGCTACATCGAGAGTAATTATCGAAGTGGACCCTGGGAGGGATGAGGGAGGAGAGAGGAAGCAGGACGGAGAGAACGAGGAGGGAGGACTGAAGAGAGGAGGACGTGGGGGCAGCAAAAAGGTACGGATGCTGCCACTCCCTGGACCTCATCCGGGATGCGTTCTGACGAGAATTTCGAATGCCGTAAAGAAAGACCAGCCGTGGAGCCGAGGGCTCTCCGGGACGAGCAACGGTGTCGATAACTTTCCTCCTGGGGGGACGGCGGAGAACGGAAAAGAGGTCGTCATTGTCGTCGTGGTCGTCATGGTCGTCGTCGTCGTGTTCGTGGAGATCATCTTCGTGGTCGTCCTCGTTGTCGTCGTCGCGGTCGTCGAATTGGCCGTCGTCGTCGTCGTCGACGCCATCGCCGACGACGTGGCACGCCACTTCGTGGTCGTAGCCGTGGTCGACGTCGTCACCGTCGTCGTCGAGGTCATCACGGTCGTCCTCGTCGCCGCAATCGCCGCGGAGGCCCTCACATCGTGGTCGTCGTTGCCTTCGGTCGTCGTCGCCGTCGCCCTCGTCGCCCTCGTCCTCGCCGTCGTCGTCGCCGTCACCATCGCAGTCGCCGTCGCCATCGCAGTCGCCGCCGCAGTCGTCCTCGTCGTCGCCGTCGTCATCGTCGCCGCTGTCGCCGTCGTCGTGGTCGCCGTCGTCGTCGTCATCGTCGCCGTCGCCGAAGTCATCGTCGCCGTCGCCGCCGTCGCCGTCGTCGTCGCGGCCGCCGGCGTCGTGCGGCGGGGGCCGCGGGCGCGGGCGAAGTCGGGGGCGGCCAAGAGGGGGGCGGCCAAGAGGGGGGGGGCGCAGATCACGGTCGGCGGCATGTGCGCGGCCCAGGGGGGGGCGGGCAGGGACGCATTGACATACGAAGAGACGCCATGAAATCTGTGGAAATATCATGGCCCCCGCATCACTGATCGAGCCACTCAGGGTACGGTAATGCTAAGATCTGGGATCTAGAAAAACGGCCCGGATTTTGAAACTCCGTTTTTGAATTCAGTAAACCGTCTTCTGCGTTCACTGAATGATGGTTTGTCTTGCTCTGATTCGGCGGCGCAGTCCAATAAATCCGTCTCTCGCTCCAGCAAATCATCGCGTTCTCAATCATTTGTTTTACGAAGGCACGTTCATTCATTACCATGACCGATGTCAGCCAGTGAATCACGCCCCTCCTGGGCCGCCGCCGACTTCACGTCTGCGAACCCCCCAGCTGGTGAGGATGCGCGAAGCGTGCAGAACTATTGGTCGCGCATTCGGTTTTGAATTCTTCACTCTTAGATTCAAATTGGGGAGCGCACGCGCTGTTGCTTTTTAAGGTTTTCTAGTCCTGGCAAGAGAACTCCCGGTAGTCTTGGCGTTCGCATTCTTGGTTGGGCCTCCGCCTCATGGAGGGCCGGGGCGCTTCAGCCTACGCGGGAGCGGCCAAAAGGGGGGTGTCCAAGAGGGGGGGGGGGCAAATCATGACCGGCGGCATGTGCGCGGCCCAGCGGGGGGGCCAGGGACGTAATGAAATAAGAAGAGCGCCATGGAATCTGGCCCCCGCCATGCTATCATGGCCCCCGCCATGACATCATGCCACCCCGCAATGACTAGGGGGGGGGTGGATATGGCCCCCGCCATGATATCCCCCCCCCCCCCCTAGTCATCACCCCCCTCTTGCCCTCCCCTGGGCCGCGCCCGACGACGGGGCGGAGGAGGAAGAGGAGGAGGAATGAGGGAGGACCTCGGGCGGGCGCGCCCGCGGGGGCCGCGGCTGCGCACGCGTGCCGGGCGTGCACCGCCGCCTCGGCGGGGGGGGCTCCTCCTCATCTTCTCCCTCCTCCTCCTCCTCCTCTCCTCCTCCTCCTCCTCCCTCCTCCTCCTCCTCCTACCTCCCCGATCTGAACCTCCTCCTCCTCCTCCTCCTTCTCTTCGCTCCTTCCTCCTCTCCTCCTCCTCCTCCTCCCTCCTCCTTTCCTCCTCCTCCTCCTCCTCCTCCTTTTCCTCCTTTCCTCCTCCTCCTCCTCCTCCTCCTCCTCCTCCTTCGCTTCCTCCTGGGGGAGGGGCGCGCCGCGGCCCGCAGCAGGGACGCCAGGGGGGGCGGGCGGCCCCGCGGAGGCGGCGGGCCGAGGGTCGCGGGAGGGTCGAGGAGGAGGAGGGTCGAGGATCGAGGAAGAGGGTCGAGGATCGAGGAGGGGGAGGGTCGAGGGAGGATCGAGGAGGAGGAGGAGGAGGAGGAGGAGGAGGAGGAGGGCCGCGTTCCCTACTGCGGGCCGCCGGCGAGCACCCCCCCGAGCCCCCCAGAGAGGAAGGACGGAGGAGGGAGGAGGAGGGAGGAGGAGGAGGAGGAGGGAGGAGCAGGAGGAGGAGGAGGAGGAGGAGGGAGGAGGAGAGGGGAGGAGGAGGAGGAGGGGGAGGAGGAGGAGGAGGAGGAGGAGGAGGAGGAGGAGGAGGGAGGAGGGAGGATTAGGAGGAGGTAGGGGTAGGGGGAGGGGGAGGGGGAGGGGGAGGAGGAGGAGGAGAGGAGGAGGAGGAGGGGAGGAGGAGGAGGAGGAGGAGGAGGAGGAGGAGGAGGAGGGTCGAGGATCGAGGACGAGGGTCGAGGATCGAGGAGGAGGGGGGCCGAGGATCGAGGAGGATCGAGGATCACCCCCGTGTTGGCAGCCCCCGGGATCCTCGGCCCTCGATCCTCCTCGACGCCAGGGCCAAAGAGGGGGATCGGATCGGAGCGTGCGCCGGATCGCTCTGAACGCACACACGCACCAAATACGGATCTGTACACCAGAGCCCTCCGACGCGTCGCACGGCGATCTCGCACGGCTCCGCGACCGCCCACCGCAGTCCTAAGCTCCGAAGAAACCCGAAGAAACATCCCTGAGGACTCTGATCCACAATCCAGGCACGGTGGCGGGATGGGCCGAAGGCCACTACATATATACACACACGCTTGTTTGGCGTCGCGGCGGCCCGTGGCCATTGAGGTCCCAAGGCGCCTCGATCGTTCAGGCGGTGGCTTACTATCCACAACCACCGCCTGGTGGATCGGTCTTCGTCTTCGGGGACCTCAGCAGGCGGCGAGCATGGATACACGTCGGTCGGAAGAAGTAGGAAAAAAATGAAGTAGGAAGGCGGATTAAGTTGATTGGGTCCAGGCCCCCCCAGAGAATAACAAAACACAGCAAAAACATGCCGATTCTTGAAATAGGAAGGCGCTTGAAGTAGATTGGGATCTGGGAATCAAAAAAATGCCTACTTTCAACGACCGGCGTGTACACTACCCTCCCCCCAGGGCCCGAGCATACACACATCCGCAGCCTGCCGGTGCCCCGAAGATCGACTCCCCAGGCGGCAGTTATGGACAGATCCCCGCCCCGGATCTGCACGCCTAACACATACAGGCAACCCGAAGAGCAAGGACGCGCGATCAGGATGCAAGGGCCTCGGACGCCCGCCTCGAAGCGTTTCGAGCGGGGCGCGGCCAACACGAAAGTGTCCAAGGAGGGACCCAGGAGGCAAGGCTGCAAGGGTACCCTCTTGGGAGGGATGCCTATCCTTGGGGAGGGGGAGGGGTGCCCTTGGGAGGGGTACCCTTTGGGAGGGCTGGCTGTACCCCAGACGCGCCCTCGAGCCTCCGACCCCCCGCCCCTCCGATCCCCGGACGGCGCGGGCGAGCGACGCTTCTTCTCCTTCTGCCCGGCCTCCCCCACGAGGCCCCCCCGGGGGCCCCGAGAGGAGCAGGGGCCAGGAACGCCCTCGCGACCCCCGGCGTCGACACTCGAGCCTCGCACGTCGCGCGACGGCGGCGACGGCGGCGGCCGCGACGACGACGACGACGACGACGACGACGACGGCGACGGCGACGGCGACGGCGACGACGACGACGGCAGGCGACGACGGCGACGGCGACGGCGACGGCGACGGCGACGGCGACGACGACGACGAGGGCGACGACGGGCGACGGCCCCTCCCCTGGCGGGGCTCCACCAGGCGCGCCCTCAGCCGCTCGCCGAGCCTGGGCACTGGAGGGAGGCGGGGGGGAAGCAGGGCGCTCAGAGGCCTGGGGGCGGCTTCGGAGGGGGCGCATGAAGCGACAGGGGGGAGGGGGAGGAGGAGGAGGAGGAGGAGGAGGAGGAGGAGGAGGAGGAGGAGGAGGAGGGAGGATGGAGGAGGATGAGGAGGAGGAGGAGGAGGAGGAGGAGGAGGAGGAGGGAGGCGGAGGAGGAGGAAAAGGAGGAGGAGGAGGAGGAGGGAGAAGGGCTGTGAACTTCGCATCGCATGGCGAAAGCCCTCCGCCCATCTGAGAGTCCTCCTCCCCAGGGCCCCCGCCGACGGGATCGCGGGGGCCCCCACAAGCCCCGGCTGGCGCAGGCCTCCTGGGCTGGGCTCCCTTCCTGGCTCCTCCCTCTCCCTTCTTTCAGTCGTCTTCCTTCCATTCCTCATTCGGGGGGGCACAGAAGTGGGGTTGGGGCAGAATAAGGGGGTTGAAGGAAAATCGCTCAAAACGGCCCGGAAGAAGGAAACGCGTTCCACGGCAGCATCCAGCTGGGCCCGTTCCCCAGCCCCACCTTGGGATAACCCTCCCTCTACGAGCCCCCGGTTCATGTTCGTACTCCTATCTCGGCGGCCAACCCGGGTATGTGTGTGGGGGGGGAATGAGAGGCAGAGGCCTCCTCGGACGGCTGGGAAGTCCCCCGGCCTTCTGAGAAGTGCTCTAATTCAATCTTCCCCGAAGACACAGAAGACTTCGCAGGAGGCGCGAGGGCTTCCGAGAAGACCCGGCTTCTTCGGAGAAAGCCTTCGTCTTCTCACTTCCTGCCCATCCCTTGCCGCCAAGTATGATCACCACAATTAAGGGGGCCGAACGGTCACTCACTGTCCCTGGGCGCGTGGCTGAAGATGGGTTCCGCGGTGCGCAGTGTTGTTGATGGGATTATTGCTGCTGCTACTGCTGCTCTGGTTCATGTTTCTACTGTATTTGGTGTTGTTGGTGTTGTTAGTGTTGTTGCTGCTGGTGCGGCTGTTGTTGTTGTTGTTGTTGTTGTTGCTGCTGTTGTTGTTGTTGTTGTTGTTGTTGTTGTTGTTGTTGTTGTTGTTGTTGTTGTTGTTGTTGTTGTTGTTGTTGTTGTTGTTGTTGTGAAGGTTGTTGTTGTTGTTGTTGTTGATTGTGGTGCTGGTATTGTTGTTGGTATTGTTGTTGGCGTGGCTGTTGTTGGTGCTGCTGATATTGCTGTTGTTGTGAAGGTTGTTGGTGTTGTTGGTGCTGGTGTTGGTGTTGTTGTCGTCGTCGACGTTGTTGTCGTTGTTGTTGGTGGTGTGGTTGCTGTAGTTGTGATGTTGTTGTTGTTGTTGTTGTTGTTGTTGTTGTTGTTGTTGTTGTTGTTGTTGTTGTTGTTGTTGTTGGTGTTGTTGTTATGGTTATTGTTGGTGTTGTTGTTGGCGTTGTTGTTGTTGTTGTTGTTGTTGCTGTTGAATGTTAATTGCTAAACAAGTATTATTGTTGGACCTCCCCCCAGTCGCTTTGACGCTCTCGCCTCGGCGCCGGCTACATCTCGAAGGGCCGCCGCTGAAGGGCCGTCGACGGGCTGCCAGGGGGCCGCCGAAGGGCCGCCGGAGAGCCGCCGAAGGGCCGCCGCCGAAGGGCCGCCGACGGGCTGCCTGAGGGCCGCCGGAGGGCCGCCGGAGGGCCGCCAGAGGGCCGCCAGAGGGTACCACTCCACTGCGGCGTTTGGTGGTGCCCGGGCGGCTTCGCCGCGGCGGCGCTCGCGGCGCGCCGCCAGGTGGCGTCGTAGCACCCGAGGCGCGCGTCGAGCCAGGCGGCGAGGACGTTGCCGTGCCCTGCGGGGCCGAGGGGAAGAGGGAGGAGGAGGAGGAGGAGGAGGAGGAGGAGGAGGAGGAGGAGGAGGAGGAGGGAAAGGAGGAGGAGGGAGAGGAGGAGGAGGAGAAGGAGGAGGAGGAGGAGGAGGAGGAGGAGGAGGGTGGGAGGAGAGGAGCGGAGGAGGAGGAGGAGGAGGAGGAGGAGGAGGAGGGAAGGGGCCCAGCCCCGCTCGCGTCGTGAAGCAGAAACGCGACGGAAGCTTTTGGCTATGTGTTCGGCCTCGGGGAACCCTCCCTTGGCCCTGGGACCGTCAACAGAAACGGCTCGGGAGGAGAAGCCGGTCCTGGGGAAGGTGTCGAGACCTCTGGGGTCAACGTTGCGAGAACATCTCGGCGTCGAGGGACCAGGGGGGGGGAATGGGGGAGGGAAGCCAGGTGCGCCCGCGCCAGATCTGACATCAGAGGCCTCCTAAATGGGGTCGGAAGATCGCGCCGCATAACTGATACATCGGCGATGCATCTGCGATGAAGCGGCGATGCATCGTGGACGTCGGCGACGTCGGCGTGAAGTAAATCGGGCTCCACATCCAGCCGCGTCGCCGATGCATCGGCGATGCGGCGCGATCCTCCGACCCGGCCGACTCGGACCCCATCTAGGAGGCCTAGAGACATCTTACTCCTGCCTCCCATCCCTTCCCATTGCGCTAACGATTCTCTCTCTGCCAACCGGTGGCGTAGCGGACCTAGACCACCCAGAAGCACTCCATCTTCGGGCCGCATCTGCAAGTGCGGCCCGCGCTGCCGCGGGAGCGCCACCTTTGGAAGGCCCGAAGACGTTCGGAGCGGAGGCGCACACGCAATATAAGGAAAACCAAAAAACGTGATGATGCAGAAGAAAAGCGTGATGAAGAAGAAGGAAAAACGTGCCACCGCGGGCGCTGTTCATGTGATCGCAATAGAAGGAAAACAACAACAAAAACACGCCATGAGCATGAGCTGTTGGCGCTCCGCGCGGATTCCTTGCATCCGAGCTGGGTCCTCCCCTTCCCTGGCGCGGGGAGCGCGCCAGGGGCGGCGCCGGATGCGCCGCTGGGGGGGGGCGCCGGGCGCCGGCCCAAGAAATCCGCGTGGAGCGCCACAAGGCTATGCTTTGTGCCGGTGTCTCTTCCTCGAGTTCGGAGGCGCCAGAGACGCCCGGGGCGGAGGCACACGCACACACACGCACACACGCACACACACATACACACACACACACGCACACACACACACACACGCACGCACACACACACACACACACACACACACACACACACACACACACACACACACACACACACACACACACACACACACGCACACACACGCACACACACCACACACACGCACACCACACGCACACACACACACACACACACACACGCACACACACACACACACACACTCACACACACACACACGCACGCACACACACGCACGCACGCAGGAGGTCGAATATCGGTCCTGCGTGCAAGGCAGCGCTGCGCGGGGAGGGGGGGGCGGGGGCGCGCCGCTCTCTAGGGCCGTCGTGTCGAGGGTCAGAGGAGAGCAGTCTTCCTGTTGTGTCACTGTGGTTGTCGTCGTCGTCGTCGTTGTCGTCGTCGTCGTCGTCGTCGAGAGTGAAGGGTGGAAGGCGGGAGAGAGCAGGGGTCGACCGGAGCAGTGTTTTCAATCATCTTCATGTTTCGTTTTCTCTCGTCCTGTCTTCGTTCCGCCTCTGCTACAAAAGCACAGAATCAGCACGAAAACGGTCCAGGAGATCGCCACACCACCGTTTATCCGAGCCCCGGGAGGGAGAGGGAAAGGGAGCGGAGGCCCCGTTTGCGCAAGCCTCTGCCGGGGCGCCGCTGCTGTCGGCCCCTCTTCTGCTGTCGGAGCTGACTGGAGAAGGCTCGCGACGGGGCACGGCATGCTCCTCAGCCGCGATTGTATCCGACATTTGGGGCGTGTGTGGTTTAGAGCGCCTCCTCCTCCATCTTCCCTCGTCCCCTTCGGGGAGGGCTTTTTACCCCTCCACCCACCCCCTGCCCTGGACCTGAACGGGGGGGCCGCGACCGATTAGAGCGTCCAAGAAGGCCTCGGCGAGGAGACGACGACCATCACTGATATTCCCAAGGTTTTGGTACAATTTTGAACTCCTGGGGGTGGGGGCTGATTAAGGACTCCCCCGTTTTTGTTATCCGAAGAGCCTCCGAGAAGCATGCAAAAACGGCTATGGCATTTCTGCCCGCCCTCCTCCTCTTCCTCATCCGCCTAGTCAACCTCCTCTTCCCTCCTCCCTCCTCTCCCTGCCCCTCTTCCTCCTGCTCCTGCTCCTCCTTTGGTTTCTCCTCCATCCTCCCCTTCTTGGGGTATCACGGCTTCCCAGCCTTTATTCCGCTGCATGCTCCTCTGCATCCCTGATCTGGGCAACTCGCCTGGGCATCGTTTCTGGATGGGCGGGTGGGCTTACGTTTTTTGATCGCGAGCGCAAGCGGAAAGGCCGCGCGCCGTCCAGAGAACAGGGGGGGGCCCTTGTAGTCCGGGGGGGGCCCTTGTAGTCCGGGGGCCCAGAACTGTTGAGGCACTCAGAAACGCGCAAGAGCGACCCTGGGTAAGAATGACCTTTGGTGCTCGGGCCGCCGGGGGGCCAAACACAGACGTGGAAGCCGCCGCTATCGCCTCGCACTCGGCGAATCTCGGCGATTGGGGGGCCCCATTGCGCCCACACCAAAGGTCACTCTGGCCAAGGCTCACTCTTACATGTAGCCGAGGTGTCCGCTGCATTGGAAAAAACATAACGGATTTGTTGTTCTTATCTTCGGTGTCTCGGGGCCCTCGCTGGGCCCCGGGACCGTTCTGGGAAGAACACCCGGTCCCGGGGAATTGGCCCAGAGCTCCGGGGAATCCGTGGGGCTTGGGAATGGGCGTCGGAGGCTTGGTCATGGGCAGGGGGCGAGCCCGATCCCGTGTCGCAGCCTCCCTGCAGAGGCGGCCGCGGACACCCCAAGTGTGCTCCCTGGCCTTGGACGAGAGTGATGCCATGAAGCTTTTGGCTTCAGTTACAAGAATCAAGACAAAACGCCGGGATCGAACAAACGATCCGCCGGAGGCCCAGGCTGACGAGGCGAAGAAGCTGGAAAGAGCATCGACCAGAATGACCAACAAAAATGTGACGGTGGGAAGAGGACATGACGCGAAGGAGGAGGGGGAGGAGGTGGAGGAAGAAGAAGAGCAGCAGCAGGAGCAGGAGAAGAAGAAAAAGAGAACTATGGGGAGGAGGAGAGAATGAGGAAGAGGAGGGGGGGGCGGAGCGAGCAGGAGGGAGAGGGAGGAAGGGGGAGGGAGGGAGAAGGGAGGAGGAAAAGGAGGGAGGAAGAGGAGAAGGCAGGGGGAGGAGGGAGGAGGAGGAGGAGGAGGAGGAGGAGGAGGAGGAGGAGGAGAAGGAGGAGGAGGACGGTGAGGGACGGAAGGCGGGCAGGAGGGGTGCCGGAAGGAGCGAAGGAGGAGGGAGGGAGCGTCCTGGGAATACGAAGAAACTGTTGGAGACCCGCTGCGCCAGGACCAGCGCGGGGGGGTGCTGGCTGGCGACCGGCCGCAGCAAGCTTGGGTCCTGGCGCCCAGGAGGCCCTCGTCGTCCCCATTGCTGGGGAGGGGGAACAATCCTCCTCCCCCTCCTCCTTCCTAATCATCCTCCCTCATCCTCCCCCCCCTATCATCATCATTCATCATCCTCTTCTCTTCCTTTCCTCTCTCCTCCTCCATCCTCCTCCTCCCTCATCATCATCATCATCACATTCATCATCATCATCATCACAGCACTCATCAGCATAATCATCATCATCCTCCTCATCAGCCGCATTATCACATCATCATATCCTCATCATCATCATCATCATCATAATCATCATTCATCATCCATCATCATCATCATCATCATCATCGTCATCATCATCATAGGAATCAATCATCATCCCTCATCCTCCTCATCATTCATCATTCATCTCATCATCGCTCATAATCATCATCAGCATTTAATCATCATCAGCATCTCAGCATCATCAGCATCATCATGATCGCATTCATCATCATTCACATCATCATTCATCATCATCATCTTCATCATCATCAATTCATCATCGTAATCATCCTCATCATCATCATAATCATCATCATCCTCATGCCTCATCCATCATCAATATGTCAAATCATCATCATCAGATATAATCATATCATCATCTCATTCATCGTCATCATCATCATCATCATCAGCATCATCACACCACCACCATCATCATCATCATCATCATCAATATGCAGCATCATCATCATCACCATCATCACCACCACCACCACCACCACCACCACACCACCATCACCATCATCACATCATCACAACCAATCAGATCATCATCATCATCATCATCATCATCATCATCATCATCATCATCATCATCAGCATCAGCATCATCATCATCATACAAATCCCTTCTTCTCCCCTCCTCCTCATCCTCAAGAGAGAAGGGGCCCAATCCGAGGGTCCTGGGCGGCGCGGATCGCCGTCGCCAAGGCGAACACGAAGGCCGTCCTCGCGGCGAGGTCCCCGCACCTCCGCGTCGCGGCGGCCCTCCCCCGAGGGCGAGGAGGAGGAGTCCTCCTTCTGATCCTCCTCCTCCTCCTCCTCCTCGTTGTCCTCGTGTTCGTCTTCCTCCTCCTCCTCCTCCTCCTGCTCTTCCTCCTCCTCCTCCTTCTCCTCATCCTCCTCCTGCATCTCCTCCTCCTCCTCACCTCCTCCTGCTCTCCTCCTCAATCTCCTCCTCCTCCTCCTCCTCCTCCCCTCCTCCTCCTCCTACTTCCTCCCTCTCCTGCTCCTCACCGTCTCCGTCTCCTCCTCCTCCTCCTCCTCCCCCTAACCAAGCACTTCTCCTTCGAGCGTTGCCTGCTCCATCCCTTCCTCCTCGCCCTCCTCCTCCGCCTCCTGCAAGAGGACTGCCCAAGGATTACCCCAAGCCGACTCTGTCGGGACATGCTGCTTGAGGGAGACATTGTACAAGCGGCCTCCCTACAAACGTTCCTACTAGAATTGATCATTTTGAAGGAAATGCCCATTGGAAGACAACTGACTGACAATTCACAACTCCTGGCAATACACCGCCGCGAATCAAGGTGACTGTTGCGGCCTGACCGCGCCTGATGACGCGTCTTGGGACTTCAGCACCGCAAACCAACGTGACTGATGCGCCCTGACAATGAACAATCGTCTCCAAACACAACTCATGGGACTTCAACCATACGAATACTGGAAACTGCTGCAAACTGATAACGCGGATGTACGGGACGCTGAGGCGAGAGCCAAATTTAAAAACAGGAGCAGACCTCCAGCCTTGAAACTGTTCAGACGTTTAAAGACGAAGTGTCAGCGGCGCTACGGCCACATGTTGAAAGCCACCCGCCATCCATCCTTGGAAACCGTTGCAAGCCTCCAAGACGAACGTGCGCGGCGCCAAAACGAATGGGGTCTAATGATCCAGTCGGGATTCCTCGCGACGTTACATGTTTTCGCCACGTCGGATCTCAGGGAATGGAAACGGGAGGGGCGGAGGAGGAGGCAGACAAGGAAGACTGGTCTTGATGCACAGCACGCTGAGCCTGCTCTGTGCCCTCAACGGCTGCGAGCTGATAGTACGTGTTTGTTCTCTGTGCCACTCTTCTTGTTACCTGCTCTGCCTACTCCTCCTCTTCCTCCTCCTCCTCCACCTCCCCTTCCTCCCCTTCCTCCCCTTCCTCCCCTTTCTCCCTCCTCCTCCTCCTCCTCCTCCTCCCTCCCCTCCTTCAGTGACAGTGTTGGACTTTTGGTTCTGAGCTGAGGGGGAGGGTGGGGTTCGCTGCGTTCGGGAGCTCCCGAGCGAAGTGACCCCCACCCTCCCCCTTAGAAATCGTGGGGTTCGCATGCGGCCCCCTAGCAAGGAGGAGGAGAAGAGGAAGCGGAAGGCGAGGAGGATGGCGAACACGAGGGCGGTCCTCGCGGAGAGAGGTCCCCGCACCTACCCCACGGACGGCGGCCCCGTCGAGACCCTCGACGGGGGCAGGAGCAGCCAGTGTCGAGGCGGGGCACGGGAGAACGAATCGGGAGGTGCGCCGGGTCGGGGGCTGCCGCAGGGGATCGGAGGCCGATCGGATCGGCAGCGCCAAGATGTGCACAGCAGCTCGACGCGGGCAGCGGGTCGCATCGGATCCTTGAGATGGTCGGGATCGAACATGGGGACACGAACGATGACGTAGAGATAAAAACTCGGAGGTCCGCGCGGAGTTCTCGGAGCGGCGCTGGGCCCCGGAGTGCGCCAGGGGCGGCGCCAGGGGCGTCACCAGGTAGCCCCAGCGCCGATCCAAGAGATCCGCGCGGACCTCCGAGTTTGTATAGTTCTGTCATTGTCTGCTCCCCTAGAAGCAGGTCGAGTCAGCCATAAAAGTGATACGAAGTCGGATCGGCGGAATCGAACTTGACCCTGCATCATCGCTGCATCCTGCGCCGACTATGCTCCTCCTGCACCTCCTCGCCCTCCATTTCGCACTCGGCGGACCTGAAGGCCTGGCTTGTTGCGTTGCCCGAGGAGACAAAGTGAATGCGCTGACTTCGGTATGTGGAATCACATTCGGGCTGCTGCCACTGCGTACGCGAGTGGTGCCGAAAGAGGTGGTCTCCTCGCCCTACCCCTCTCCTCTCCATCATCCGCCGCCCATGGGTGAGTGAGAATTCGTTTTCCCCCCCTTTCTCGTCCTTCCGCCTGTCCTCGAGAGCGTCCAGAATGGCGCAAGAGGCTGGCTCCCGAGATCGCCCAAGACGGAGGCCAAAACGGCCCAAAACCTCCCAACAAAACCCCAAGAGGGGCCCAGGAGGGCCCAAAGAGGAGTCCAAGAGGGCCCAACCCCAGGGCCCCCGAGAGCCCTCGAGCGCCATCAGGCCTCCAAGAAGCCTCAGCGAGGCCCCCAAGAGGCCCCGAGGAGGCCCCTAAGTAAGAGTCCCTCGGGAAGCCCCCAAGAGGACAGCATGCCGCTAGGGGGCCCCAAGAGGCATCCAATCGGCCTCCGATCCACGACCGAACCAGGGGGGCGGAGGCCCCTAGACAAATAAGT